TAATGTAATGTTACAGTAGTTTTTAGCATGCTATATTTGTTCCAATAGAAACACATACACTTTATAAATTGAGAGATTGGTGAACTTTAAATCACAACAAAACAAACATTGATGGATCACAGGAGTAGATATTTCAGATGCGCTCATTATAGAGAATATACAATGTAACAATCTATTGATACAACAATTCAAATTACATTCTAAGCAGTGTGCAGATATTTATAAAATTCCTTAATTTTGTCAAAATATTGATGCAACATCTTGCACATATTCCTGCATTTTTCAATTCATTTTAGACCAGATGGGCATAACTTCACATTGGTTACAGGTCTTTCTTCAAAAGTTTTGAAAAAATATGAAAAACACTAATGTATTTTTGAAAGGTGAAAAAATTTGACATTTTAATTTTAGGTTGATTCTGGTGTGAAATGGAACAAATCAGAAAAATAAGCATACAATTCACATGATATGTGGTAAAGTTTAACTCTTATAGTTTAAAACATATGGCAAACATTGACATATTACAATACCGGTAATAGATTTAAATATACCTTATTATTTTGCTGCTGTAAAACACCTGGATGAGGACTATCAAGCAATGTTTTCAATCTTTCCTCTACAGTTAAGGATACTGTATCTCTCACAGGGTGCTGTCAATAAATGAGTAGTAATCAGACTTTAACATTTTTACGTCAATTAAAAAATATTAAAACACTGTAATTCCTTCTCAAGGAATAGTAACCATGGAAATAATATTAACTATGTTAACTTACTTGTGTATTTGATGACCAAGCATTTGGTGGTGATCGTTGGGGTTGTGGCGTAATTGTACTAGAACTACTTCTTATCAGCTGTTGTCGTCTCTGATCCGCACCATGTTGCTCAACTTTCCTTTTGTCTAACTGAGTTGTAGACTGTGAAACAAAATTAATTTACAATCAGACAAAAATTCAGTTCCAATGTGAATGTACTGTACACTTATTTAACAGTTCATGTTCATCTGACTGTAATGGTATTTGTAATTAATCTTTGGATATAATCCCTTTATCCATCATGTGTGTTACTGCCTGTCAAAATAACTGTAACTAGCTTTCCATTTTACTTTTGGATCTTGTAAAATTCCAATGTACAATATAGAAAAAAAAGGTATTTTCACTTGGCAAACTGTTCAGTGAAAATAAATCTCAAATCTTGCAGTACTAAATTTGCTATATTAAAAATGCATCTCTAATAAAAACACATATAACCAGAAATTGCAGTTGTTGTAAACTGTAAAAATTGATTACAATATTACTTATATTACCATAGATAAAATTATGTAAATTACTTCGTTGAATACGCATTTAATATGGTTCATGTATTTAATATATCAACTATATTTATTATTACAATACTATAAGCTACAAATAGAGAAAATATAGTAATTACCCTGGTAACATATTTTTCTGTACATACCACACAATACTAATGACCAATGTCCAGACAACAGTGTTTTACAGTAACATCCTTAAGTGCATATTGTAAGACTATTTCTACCCATATCAGTATATTTGAAATACAACATATGTTACTTTGAAATGCACCATACGGATTATTAATAAATTAATAATCCAACAAATTTAAACCACCATTATCAAATAAATAATTACCACAATTTTCTCTGTGTGCGATATTTGATGGTTACTTGCTGGCACAGCATCTGCCATTGTTCCTGGTAATACTGATGAAGAATAGAAACCTAAGGCTGCTTCTCCATCATTATTGACTCTACCAACACCTAAATAAACAAACATTACATAGCATCAATTTTAAAATAAATCCATACATTGGTTATGGTACTGTTGTTCAAAGGTCACATATAAGAATATGAAATATTGAAAAGTTGTTTTCATCTTGATAATTCATAACAGTTGCTGGTTTAGCGTGATGGATTAGTGAGTGTACTAATAAGCTTACCTGGATTGTTTGAGCCTGCACCATTCAGCTGGTACTTGGGCTAGCAAATAAATAAAAAAAAAAAATCAATGCTATAAAGGTTCCCTGACTGAGAATCCATAGTTATCAAAACAATGTGATCGATTTATCAGGTTATCAGTAATTTAATGATGCTAAAACCATCACCATGGTGACCTTCATTAAAAATAAAATTGGTTCACCATTTGAGATTAATTACTTGGCTCAAATTGACTTAAAACTAGTGGACAGGTGAGGTATGTTTTGTTTAATCCAACACACTTCCTATGTCAAGTGGTGAACTATTGACATGTCAGCTGACTATAAAAAAACTATAATTGATCATGCTTATGTTGACTTAAAAATTGTAAACAATAACTGTACATGCATTAAACTACTGGTATTCATACAGAAGAAATGCAACATATAATTAAACATTTTAATTCATATTGTCACATCATAATCACTCAGTAACTTACCTCAAAACTATCTTTGACAGTACTTATAAGAGATAGGCTGGATTTTAAATTACCATCAACAAGTTCTAGAACAAAGTAGTAAAATATAAATTGACGCAAGGACCACAGACGTTCATGTGATAGAAAACTATGCACTGCCATCTAGAAATATGGTACAATATTCTACAATGTGAATGATTATATTATCCTATAATATTTATTTTTGCTTCAGTTCACTGTCAGTGTTTCAGTAAATTACAATTATTTATCCTACATGTATGTACTGTAGTACAAATGTCACTGTTATTATCATAGATACTCACCTTCTGTTGTTATACCATACAGAGGCACCCCTTTAGCATCAAGATACTGAAGACACCTCTGAATATTCTCAACTTTTTGTGCTCTTATTATTGGACGACTGTTAATTCCAGGAATTTTCTCATTTGCTGCAAAAAAAACAGAGGGGAAAACTATTATAGTCTTGTACTTTGGAAATGTTACAAGGGGTGGTTAAAGGACACACCAAACATTAAGAGGTCCCAACACGCAAGGGACTGTTAAAAGTAGTGGGGATAAATTATCAATTTTGATGCAAATGCTAAAATAATAATTTGAAGATTTCTTAGGCCAAATGAACAAATGTAATTGATTGGAGGTACCGGTACCTGCATGTGAAATTTGAGGTTTTGACACAAAGTGTGAGAATCTGAGAGATTCATGTAACAAAATAACATTTGTCTCACCGAATATTCATGCACATGCTTATTCTGTTATCATGTAATAATGATCTGAAAAATTACTAACAATTTGGTATTTTTTTGTTGAATTTCACTCTCAATGCGGTTTTTATCATACATTGTTAGTATTTTTAGATTTGTTTTCTTCTTTCACAAATCTGAGAGATACATGTACCCCAGCACAAATATTAATGCACTTTTTTAAACAAAAAAAATTGAAAATATAGTAATGAAATTAACAAATCTTAGATGAACTTGCAGTTTGGGAATAGAAATAAAAAAATATTGCTTTTTATTAAAAATGAAAAAAAAAAATAATCATCACACATTAAACAAATCTAAGTTCACCCAAGATACATGTATAGTATCAAACCACTGAACTGCACTGATCCATTTCAATAACTAGGTCAAAGTACAGCTGTGAGTATGTATATGAGGACATCTTTCATTGCCAATATACTTAATGGGTTTTATAGCAAATAATTCTAATATAAACGCATCATAATACTCATCACAAATGAGTTAAATTAACAAAATTAACAAATTCAATGGTATAACTTCAAAAAACCAAACAGAATTTTAAATCATAATCTATGATAATTTTAAAACACAGACTTACAGGACAGTCTCAGCAGTGATATGTTATAAATAACAATTCTCCCTAGTGTCATTTGCAAAACAATTTATTTACATTTTAATTGTAACCAACCATAGTAGAAAATAAGGATACATGATTGGAGTAGCAACACCTTTAACAAGCGTACATTTATATTTAAATGTCAATAAAACAGAAACCATAATACGCTGTGCTGGTATGTGTAATCTACACACAATCCATTACATGATGTATCACAGTGGGTGGGGACTGGCAGTAGCAAGGTATGCAAGAATTAATTTCAGAACTTAGGTGGAGTGTTTGAGTTCAAAGCTCAGAATAACAGTTAAGATGGGTAGGGACATTTTGTGATACAACATGGGATCAAGCAGTGTTACTTAAGGAATAAAAGACGCCACACTGCACATTATAACAGAGAAAGGATGGGGTGTGGCAATAATGTGCAAGACGCAGACTGGCTGATTATTTTTAAACGAACATCCCTGTCAATGCCCTGTTATAATGCAATAATTGTTAGTGCAGAGTATTGATTTCACTTATGATTGATACTCTGAAATGTTGAACAGTAGCCAGTAGCAGAAGGAATTTCAGTGTGGTAAGCACGTTGTGACACTATTTCAGTTACGTGCAGAGCATTCATGAGCAAACAACATCGAAAATATGCTGAAAAGTAATTTTTCTAGATGAAAATAAGTAGGGTTTCTTAATGTGAAAGGACCATGGAGGGTTTGTTGTAAACGATCCGTACAAATGTTGTAAAACATTGTGAGTCGCACATAATCTTGTTCGTATGTTTGTTGATTGACCTCAAGCACTGTCCAGTTATCTGATAATAGGGTTGTAGCATTTCTATAATTGATAACATATGGTATTATAACTTACTTTAGTACATTACATTCAAGTTCTAGTTACAACTGTGTAGGCAGGTTAAATATTCACGTAGAAAATTCAAAATCTACATAAAATAAAATGCTTGTGATTTCCTAGTAACTGCATAATCCAAGTGGGTAATAAAACACTATATTTTCCTGCTAACCATATTTGCGGTTTGATAATTAAAAGCATTCACAGTGACAACTTTTTATGAATGACACTGTAACTTCATGTCATAATGACCCCAGTGAAATTTTCATTATTTTGCCTGAATTTCAAAATTTACAAAAACTTGACTCATGAAATCAATTTTCAGAATACAGCCCATAACATTGACGTTTTTGTAGTCATTATGACTTCAAAAATAAAATTCACAAATAGGAATACAAAATAACCCACTAACAGCAGTTAAATAGTGGAAAAACAGCAATGGCATAGATATACATGCAGTAACTATGGTTACGCTTACAATGTGGCACTTATGTATAGTGACATGTTTGCACAGGTATTAAGCTACATCACATTTTACATTCACTTTTTATGTTCCTTGTCGTCCATTTAAAATTACACATCTGATGACTGGCTGAAACATTAACATGTACTTGGTAAATAAAATTGTGAGAAGATTTTATTAGGTTCTTTCTCACCAATATAGTACACAGGTAGACTATAATAGATCTATTCTATAGTATTTGTCAACCCACAGAGAAAGTAGTTTGTAGACAAATGTCAAGGTTTTAACTGAACTAATATTTACTTCCTGTTGTCCCAAGGAACTAACTC